TCTTTCTTTCTTTCTTTCTTTCTTTCTTTCTTTCTTGTACAAGGTACCACTCTCTAAATGACTGATCAGATCTGAATCATAACAGAAAGAAGGTTGTGCATCTTTAAAATCAGATTCAGAGGTTGAGGCACCTGGATGGCTCAGTTGGTTGAGCATCCGACTTTGAGTCAGGTCATGATCTCGCGGTTCGTAAGTTTGAGCCCTGCATTGGGCTCTCTGCTGACAGCTCAGACCCTGGAGCCTGCTTCAGATTCTGTCTCCCTCTTCCTCTGCCCTTCCCCGCTGTTGCTCTGTCTCTCAATAATAAATAAACATTAAAAAACTTTTTTTAAAAATTAAAAATCAGAGTCAGAAGCAGTTATACTTTGCTTAAATAGTATATTTTATTACAATGAGAACATTATATGTAAAATTACATAGTTCATTATTACAACTTTTAAAATTAAAAATTATTTTAATTAAGTCAGTTTAACCCATGTTTAGTTCTTGGGAATCTAGTCTGAGACAAGGCCTGTGGCCTCAATTATATAACTGCAGTTATGTTAGTAAGACCTGCTTATGGTAATAAGTACTGTTGACCCATACTTGCCTGAATTCTGTAAAGACATCTCACATGCTATTCTACTATTATTGAAAAAGCTCTGAAGCTTAGGCAGAAAAAGGCATTGTGTGTAAATCATAGCAGGAGTCATTAAAAAAAGATTAATATTAACATCAATAGCCCTGCCAAGAAAATTCTGGAAGAAAAATATAAAATGAAAGATGTCATCCTGAACAGGTTGTGTGCGTGCTGCTGTAGGTAGTCTTTAGAAGATTGTCTGTATTTTAAGAGAATGTCGAGTCTGCATCTGAGAGGCAGGAGGGAAAGAGTTGTTATACAGTATATATTTTACTTAACCAACATTACTCAGCAATGAAATGAAGAAAGCAAAATGTAGGGATGAATTTAAGAGTGCTTACAGGAAAGTACTGAAGTTTCATTGTTTTGTTTTGTTTTGTTTTCCTGACTCAGATGCTGATCTTATCATTGCCCTCCCCACTGGAGTGTGATCCTGAAAGTGGATTGTGGTTAAAAGTGAGCTCTATGGCAACCTTTAACTCCAGTAAT